TGAGGTACCACTAGTAGGCAATCTCAAAAGATCATCCAAATAGAGATGGCAGGGAAACAGAAAAGCAGGATTAGAGCTGGGGAAATATTTGTCAAAAAGATAGGAAAAAATATGAAGTTACAATGAATAAGGACATATTCTGTCCAAGTAAAACAGTGAAAACTAAAAACACATTGGTCTTTCAAACTGAGTTTTGTGTTAAAACTAATTCAGAGGTCTGCACAGGCCTATGGCATGTTTAGTCCATGCAGTTGACTTTATTGCGCTGTTGCTGGAGACCAAACACACTGTCCCTCTGTCTTCTCAGAACTGAAGTCCTCCTCGGCTGGAGGGACTGCAGGGGGGAGTCTCATAAGATCTTTCTAAGTCCACAGTGGATGCCTCGATTCTAAGAGCCCAAGAACTGAGTGTGTCACTGGATACAACCAATACTATCAGCTTGGCTGATGGCATGAAGCCAGCACAGCCCCCGTGATGTGAGGGAGTGGTGGACAAGCTGCTGACACACTCAACGTTAGCCATTCATGAGAGAAACTCAGGTCCAAACCCTAAAGTTGGTCAGCTGCACCCAATCTGACCTGGCTCACACAGTCCTTTTGAGTTTGCTCTATCACAGCTATCTTTCACATGTTGGGCATCTTGACATACAGAGAGGAGTATATTTTATAAAAACTGTGCTGCTGCTGCTGCTGCTGCTGCTGCTATTTTTTAACATTTGAAAGGACAGAAAGCAAACAATACTTGAGCCTCTCATGTCGTCTTAAGCGTAACCCTTCGTTCAGAAGCAGCAGCTGTTCTTGCTAATTAGGATCACGCTGGTGCGAAGCCTTGTGCTTGGACGCCACTTTTCCTGAGTTGGCCGAATGACAAGTGCCTCGCTCCCGTTATCTGGATGCTCTCATCAGCAGAAGGCGTGCGTGGGCTTCTGGGTAAAAGGTTGCAGGACTGGCTGGCTTCCAGGTAGTGCAAGCCTTTTAGCAGACAACTTCATCAGTCTGCATAAGTGCATGTGGTTAAGAGCATGGAGGTATCTTTTGTTTGCAACGTCATCTTTTTCTTTCCCTTTTGGAATATGTATCCAAGCTGCCAAAGCTCCAACTTACACAGCCACAGGCACTATTTATGGTGCTTATAAGCTTTGCAATTATTTGCTGTACATCAGAGAGCTGGACAATGAACAGGGATGATAGGAGAATTGATGCCTTTGCGTTGTGGAGCTGGAGAAGAGTCTTGAATATACCATGGACAAATAGGTTCATCCTGGAGAGGGTGAAACCAGGCTGCTCCTTGGAGTCAAGGATTCTGAAGCATCATCTGCCATACTTTGGGCATGTTGCAAGGAGGGACCAGTCCTTGGAGAGGGACGTCGTGCTTGTAAGGGTGAAGGGGCAGTGAAAGAGAGGAAGACCATTGAGATGGATTGATTCAGTGACTGTGGTGATGGTGGGTGTGTCAGAGAAAATAAGGCTGGCACAGGATAGAGCAGGGTTTAGGGCTGTTGTACACAGGGTCACTATGATTTGCAGGCAACACAAAGGCACATAGCAACATTAGGTTTGACGGTAGAGAGCTCTGAAAGAGCTTAGCCAGCACAAAACACTAAAAGTTCCTTTGTGGAAACCACTCCTTCAATACTTTTGGCAAAGACACCTGCCCTTTGGGCTCCAGAACATGGGTGACCACCTACATGACTAGCAACAATTTCATCTGATGACGTTTAAACCTGTTACCAGGCTGGCTGTGAACAAAAGGAGGTAAATAAATGATTCTGTGGTCTCACTCATTCTTTTCTAGCACAAAAGCTCAGTTTGCACAGCAGGATTTTCTTTTTTCTTAAATGAAGTATGTTTCAAAAATACTCTGTGTAAGTAGAAATCAATTTTAATCATTGCAGGCTATTAAGGTGGCCTTTGGAGATCATGATGAAGTATTGTTAAACTATAAAAGACTAGAAATAAGCTGTAGTTTGTGTAAGTAGGCAAACTAACCAAGGCTTATGGCCAGGATAGACAGGGGGGAAAAATTATAATAGCCCAAGAAAGGAATTATCTGGCTAATTGCTTCCATGAACAAACCACTTTGCCACTAAATCAAAAGAATTAGGTGGTGCCTGGCTATTGCTGAACTTTTTGATCAGATTTTATAAATGAATCCTCATCAAAAGGAGAGAAATTAAAAAAAAAAAGAATTGGAAATTCTCATGAACCCCTTTTTCTGCTGCCGAACTACTCTGAAGTAAAACCTTTCATCAAGAAATTATTATTGTTAGATGCAGTCAAGTTGATGCCAACTACCTGCGATGTTATGGATGGAAACCTTGCCCTTTCCTGTGTCATCCCCACGCTCTATGCCACACTCAAGTCTATTGTGGCAACTGCTGTTGTCAATCCATCTTGTTGCGGATCATCCTGTCTTTTTCTGACTCTCTACTTTTCCAAGCATGTTGTCCTTTTCCAGGGATTGGCACCTCCTGACAACATGCCCAGAGTATGAAACTTGAAGCTTCACCATCCTCGCCCCTAACAAGCAAGCAAGCAAATAAATAAGCCGCATGCTGGTTGCACCTCCTAAAAAAACAGAACAAACAAACAAAAAACCCCCAACCCTTTTGAAGTCTTTTTAAAATCAAATAACAGATATGGATCACAATAAGCAATGTTTCTATCTGAAGGGGCAGAGAGAAGGGGAGTTAGTCTGCGTGGCTTTAACTTTTGTGGAGTTGGCTTTTTCAAGATCTTACTAGTATGTTTATGAGCAGCTGTTTTTCAAGTGAACAGGGTACCATGTAAGCCAAGTAATATGAACATTCCCCTTCTCCATCAATCTTACTTAAAACTCCTCTGCAGCACAGGCTGCTGCTTATTCTATATCTATTTACCTCAGGGTGCTGAGCTATAGGTCCATGCCTTTAAAATAAAAATGTAGGTGTCAAGATTGAGATGGGGGAGGGAAATTTAAAAAGTACTCATTGAGGAAAGTGATCTGTATTTTCCTGAAGATGGTTTTACATTTTAAAAGATGATGAGGGAGACTCAGAAGTCCAAAGTAATTAAGTAGCAGGATGTACATTCACAGTTCCACTTGACAAAGCGAGCTGGAGAGGTGGGTGCCCTCTCAGAAACAGGGAACCTGGAGGAAGGCGCACCAGAACCCATGCAGTGCAGCCAAGTTCTGTCCACAGCCCAGACGAGCAGTCACTGCTCAGTGTCAGGAGACATTTCATGCTCTTTTAGCCTACAGAGAAAACCCTTGACCAGCAAAATCAAATTGTCACTGAATTAAAGTTAAAAGGAATCTTTTTTTAAAAATTTATTAATTTCAGTAAAAATTTACAGAGGCTTTGGATTTCCATTCATTCATTGTTGCACTTTTCTCCCCTCGCAACCCTCCTCCCTAGTACACTACCCTCTTGGAAAAGTAAAACAAAGGTTCTTTCATTGTTTTACAAACCCCCCCC